ATATTGAATTCAATCTTTAGCCTTCTCTTCAATGATGATTCAATAGAAGTTTTGTTTCTAAGAATTATTTTCATCTGGATAGAAAACAACATCCTAGCAGTTATGGTTATTCCTAAACCTAATCCCAAGGCAGACAAGGTGGCAGCAAATGCAGCTAATCCAAAGGACACAAATGGAAGAAGACCTCTCTGGGCTGCATTCATGTCACTGTTCACGGTGTTCCACCCAAAGGAGTGACTGCACAGCTTTATATACAGTCACGATAAAAATGAGAGCAGCAAGAACACAGGCCAGGGGTGCTGAAAGGACAAAGAGTGTGAATGAAGCATAGATTACCCATTTTGGTGCAGAAGAATGTCTTCCTCCTTCTGAAGTCATGAATTTCCTTTGTCTGTGCACTTTCCATGTGCCATTCTCAGGCCTCCAAGTTTGGGGATGTCAGGGCAAATGATGCCATCTCCACTATGAAGCACTCAGTACATGCTGCTCAGCCACAGCATTTCTAAGACGGCCTGGGCTCACTCTGACAGACTTCCTCCTTCTTGGATACCTCACCACAGGCAACTGTGTCCAGAGCAAGCAGTAAGCAAGTCATGATCACCAGAGCTGGAATGTGGGACCTGCTCCAGCCTGTGCGTCCTTGACCCTACTTGCCAACTCTCACTGGTTTTTGAATCCCCAATACTCAGTGGACTTTGAAGGGTCAGTAAATTTTAATATAGCATCCAGTACAGTAAGTTAGGCGTGTCCCATTCTACTTGACCTCTACTACATGGGATGCTCTTGCCACCTGCTGGTCTACATGCTCCCTTCCTTCCTCTGACCCTCTTCTTAGTCTCCATGGATCTTTTCTCTGGCTCTGTTTTAAGTCCTTCCCCCCCCCCCCCAAGAGGTCTTTCTGCCTCAAATTTCTACTCCCTCCACACTGCCTGAATGGCCTGTCAAAAACACAAATCTTGCCACATCACTCTGCCCAAAATTGTCAACATTCCCCATTACCTATTGAATTGGATCAATTCTAAATTCCATAGACTAGTCTACAAGACCCTCATCTTTCTTCACCCTCTTCCCTTCCATTTCACACCCTCCCATCCAGCCAAACAGAGCAGCTTGCCCTTTGCCAGGAACACTGCATTGCATTTCTCTACGACTCTGCATAACAGCTGTCACTGCCCTGAGTGCCCTTCACCACTTCTTACACCTGGGGAACTTCTACCTGTCCTTAAATTCCCAGCTTAAATGTCCACTTCCTCTACAAAGCCTTGTCTGGGTACTCCTTCCCCTAAGCTCTCAAGCACTTCAATGTCTTCAACATAAGCTACTATATCAGTTTTCCTAGCTGGACTGTGTGCACTTTGGGAAGAAATTGGGCTTCATTCCATTTTGTATATTTCCAGGCCAAAAACAAGACCTTGCTTAGTCAAATAAATAAATGAACATTCTAGGTTTGTGCTGTCCAGCACAGTAGTACACATCATATATTGCCACTGAGCTCTTCAATGAGGCTGGCCTACATTAAGAAATGTTGTAAATATAAAACACACAAAGGGTTTCAAAGTCAGTGTGGGGGAAAAGTAAAATATATCATTGGTATATTTATATAATGATTTAATATTGAAACAGTATTTTGCATATATTTGATTACATTAAACAGTACTGCTCAAATTAATTTCACTTCTCTTTTTTATGCTTTCTAACATGGTTAGTAGCAAAATTTAAAACTACATACATGCTGGCCTCTCAGCTTCCTAATTGCCATTCATAGTTACAGTTGTCAGAATGATCCTTTAAAACGTCACTCAACTCATACATGGAGCCTTACTGAGGTAGTTACATTCTTTAAAGCTGCCACAAGCACTGAAATCAGTGAATACTGAATCACTGTTTCTACAGCAAATACATGGTCAGGCTCCTGAGAGTTCCCCATTCACAACATTTTTGTCAACCAATCAACATGTAACTTTGTATTACGAGTGTCTTTGTTTAAAGACACCTTACTTAATATATATTGTTGAATCAGTGCAGTTGAACACAAGGCCAAGGCTGAACAAAGCTCATGTAACATACATTTTTCTCAGGCACAGCACAACTGTTATGATTGGGATGTGAGGTGTCCCCCAAAAGCTCCTGTGTTAATGCAAGACTGTCTACAGGGAAAGTGGATTTTGAGAGCTGTAACATAATCAGTCCATCCTCATTTGAATGGACTCAGTGGTTAACTGTGGGCAGGTGGGGCATGGCTGGAGGAGGACCGTCATTCGGGGTCCGCCCTAGAAAGGTACATCTTCTCGAAGCTCTTTCGCTCTTCTTTCTGCTTCCTTGCTGCTAGGAGGGGAGCAGATTCCCTCTGACATGCCCTTTCCCTATGATGTGTTGGGCAATGGAGTTGGCTGGCCATGGACTGAAACTTCTGATACATGACCCAAATCTACTTTTCCTTCTCTAAGCTGTTTTAGTTGGGTGTTTTGATCACAGCAACACAAAGCTGACTAAAACAACTACCTTCTTGTACGTAGGGATACTAGATAGCATTTCAGCCCTACACTCGGGGGCATTTAAGCAGCAAAATCACCAAAAAAAGGCACAAAAATAAGAAAAACATGGCATTAAATATACCTCCAAAAGAACATTTTTAGATCGTGTACCCTTATTTTTTTAAAGAGAGAGAGAGAGAGAGATTTTAATATTTATTTTTCAGTTTTTGACGGACACAACATCTTTCTTTGTATGTGGTGTTGAGGATCAAATCCGGGCCACACGCATGCCAGGCCAGCGTGCTACCGCTTGAGCCATATCCCCAGCCCCCTTATTTTTTATAAAAAAAAATTTATTTGCTCTTTTTAGTTGTACATGACAGTACAATGTATTTTGACATATTATATATACCTTGAGTATAGCTTCCCATTCTTGTGATTATACACTATGTGCAGTTATATTGGTCATGTATTCATAAATGAACATAGGAAAGTATGTCTGATTCATAACTTATACCTGGGGAACTTCTACCTGTCCTTAAACCCCCAGCTTAAATATCCACTGCCTATCCCATTTCCATCCCCTTTCTGGAGTATGTACCCTTACTTGACTTCAGCTGAGAATAAATGAGAAAGCACCACAAGTATTGATTTTGGGGTGTGCAGGGGAATTTGCAAATATGAAATCTGTGAATAATGAAGCATGACTAATTCTACTGCTTACAGCTCTTCAAGGGCTTTAGATTCCATTTATAAAATCCAAACTCCTGGGGTTGGGGATGTGGCTCAAGGGGTAGCGCACTCGCCTGGCATGCTCGCGGCCGGGGTATGTTGTGTCCGCCGAAAACTAAAAAATAAATATTAAAAAATTCTCTCTCTCTTCTCTCTCTTAAAAAAAAAAAAATCCAAACTCCTTACAATGGCCTACAAGGCTGTTTTGTCCACAGCCCAGCAGTGCCGGGGTGGTGGGATAGATTTTGGAAAGGTCAAAGAAAGTGCCCAGACACAACATGGGAGACAGACGATTTATTAAGGAAAATTTATAAGAGCTCCATGACTGCCCCAGAAGAGCTCAGTGGCCAGGCTGACAGCATGCCAGTCCCTCATAGTATTTCCTCTCCTTCAGTGTTTTGTCCAACGGCAATTGGCTAGAGAAGTCACACATATCCTTTATATAGTACCCTGGGTCCTACCCACCCACTCAGAAAGGGGTTTTATAAAAGGCTGCAGAATCAGTGCCATCTTTATTATTTTTTATTGTTATTTTAAAATATTTATTTTAATTGTCAATGGACCTTTATTTACTTTTTATTTATATGTGGTGCTGAAAATTGGACCCAGTGCCTCATACATGGTAAGCAAGCGCTCTACCACTAAGCTATAACACCAGCCCAGCAGTGACATCTTTAGCATTAGTTTGTTTAGTCTGCTTACATCCCAAGGAGCAGCTGCCCTGGTGTACATGTAAGAAAGTGGCTTTCTAATGATAACACTAACTTGCCCTAGTTCCCTGTATGCATGAGGGAAAGCCAGTGTCCTTCAAGATAATGTGTATCTGGACACGGTGGCCCAGTCTTGTTCTCACTGTTCCCTTAAGTTGGTGGTTTTGGGGAACAGAAAGGCATTCAGGGACACAGTGTTTTCTATCCCCCTTTGCTTTAGGGACGACGGAAAGGCCCAACAGGGTGCGGGTGCAGTTTACCTTCCTACATCCTCACACCGCGGACCACAGTGGCTTCCTGCCTTCCCATTCCAGCCTGTCCCCACCCCGCAATGGCCCTGCCCTTTCACTTCTGCCTCCTCCTCACCATCACCTCCTTTTCTGAGCTCCCCTCCAGAGGACCACCCATAATCCTGCGGGGGCCGCCCACTGGGCTTTCCTTCGCGGCCCTGGGGTTGGGGTTGACTTCTGTCACAGTGTTTCACGGCGCCTAACCGGACAAGAGTGCGCGGAACCAGGGCTCGACCACGCCGGGGTGCGAGGGCGGCGCGCACTCTTTCCCGCCGCGGGCGGGGCAGCAGCGAGCGCCAACTGCGAGGTCCCGCGACTCTCCCGCCTCCTGAGCGGCTGACAAACAGGCCCGAGGTCCTCCCACGAGTCCAGTCCCACGCCGTGCTGCGCTCCGCCCTCTGACGTCACCAAGGCGCGTCACGTGCCTCGCGAGGCCCCGAGCCGCGACGCTTCGGGCCCTGGGCCCATCTCCAAACCTACCTGCCTCCTCTGACGGGGCGCGTCAGGCAGCTGTTGAGGCGGCCATTCCTGCTGCTGCGCTCGCCGCCGCTGTGGGGCCGCGGGGACGGTGAGTCGCCTCTGCGCATCCGGGGACGGCTTCCGGCGGGAATCCCTCTCCGCTAGAGCGGGGGCTGGCCTCCCGCCCCGGTTTGGGGGATGAGCTCGCCGCGGAGCCCCGCCCCGCCGCGGTGCCTGCCGGGTGCTGTAGGCCCCGCTTCAGGACTACAGGTCCCACAGGTCCCCGGGCGCACGGGGGCGGTGTGCGCGCAGAGCCCGCGGGCCGAGGGGCTCCTCCGAGCGCCAGGCCGGACCCGGGCCCTTCTCCGCGTCCCGCCGGCCTCGGGCGCCAGGTGTCGGAGGTAAAGGTGGCGGGGTGGGGGCGGCGGCCAGACTGTGGCTGTTCTCCTTGGGGGCGCTGTCGAGACCCAAGGCGTTTTGGTGTCGTTACGGCCGCGGAGCTGCGGCGACAGCTTCCCGGGGCCGAGAGCCCGGGGTTACCGGCCCTGCGGCCGCTCGCGTGAGCCCTCGTCACGCCTCCCCTTTTTCTGTAAGAGAGGGTTGTGCCATTTTTCTGCGGGAGACCGGGAAGAGAGGGCAGGGGAGAGGAGGGGAGGGCAGCCTCACTGGAGGCCTCAAGGAACGGGGGTCGGGAGGGTCCCCGCGCGTGACCTTGGCGGTCCCGCGGGAGCCCGCCGCGTTTGCCCTCCCCCGCCGGGCAGGCGCGTGCGGGTCGGGACCTGGCTCTGCGCCGCGCTCCCGCAGGCGGATTGGGGAGGCGGCGGGTGGCCTGGCCTTGGGCCGTTCAGCACCTTGGTGGAGGTGGGTTCCCAGGGGCCTTTCCACAGGTGTCAAGGAAGAGAGCGGCTGAAAATCCTGCGTCAGCACGACCGGTGGCCGTTGTTAAAAGGACGGGGTCCTGGGGCTTGTCCCAGCCCCAGATTCTCGTTCTGTAGTTATGGGGTGTATCCCAGGGAATCTGTAAATAATGTGCTCCCAGATAATTCTCAGGCACATGGGACTGAGAATCTCTGTCCCAGAGTGGGGATCAAGGACCTTCGGTGGGGGGGCGATTCATAGCGTTTTTATCACTTTTGTATGCATTCTGGGGATGTGGGCTGGGGAGTGCCTAGGAAATTAGGACGGCTATCCTTGGTACTTTGCTTCTTACTTTGTTTGGGGCTGACACAAGTTGAGTGGGGAAAGGCCTGCCAGCTCTTATTGTCCTGCTCTTAACAGGAAAGAGCCATTCAGAAGACCACCTCAACCTCCCCTGCATTAGGAAAAAATTAGAATGCAGAAAAGTCGAAGGAATTTTACAGAGTATGCTAATGAACTCCATGTAGAATGTACAGTTAACATTTTCTACTTTTTCATCAATCTATCCACCCAGCAGTCCCATCTTTTGTTTATGCATATCGAAGTAAGTTGTAGATCACCAGTGTGTTTTCTTTTCAAATAGTTAAGCATGCATATCATTAACTAGACTCTTAGGATTCTTGCTTATTGATTTTTAACCAACAGAACCTCTCAATCCTGAGGACCCGAAGGAGTGTGTAGGTTTGTTCTTCACATGAGGAAAGACCTTTACATATTGCTCTTACAGAATTTAAGAACAGCTAGCCATGGTTCTAGACTCATCCTAAGAGCAGAAACATGAAATATATGAAGAATACTTAAGGGAACAGAATTGTTTTGAGAAGAAGAGAATAGAATGTGTCCCAAAGGACAGTGCCCCAGCAGTTCATTCTGGCAATAACTGAAGTGAGTTGTCAGCTTGTGTGTTTTTTTGGCTCTTTCTGTACACTATAAGCTTGCTGTTTAAAGCTGCAGGTGTGTGTTTTTTAAACTGTAGGGGAACAGGGCTGGGTAACACATTTGGCAGGCACATGGTGCTGATGAATTAGAGGTCATGACTTTGACTCCCTTAGGCCCAGATACTTGGTTCCATAGCCACAACTACCAATCCCTCACCCTATTCCTTTAAGGGGGAGAGAAAAGTCAAGCCTCATGAAAATTCGTTTCTGCTTTCAGAAACACAATACTAAGCATGATGACATATTTTAACTCAGAGAGGACGCAGTTCAGGATGTGTAGCAGTTAAAGTCATGTCATTTTATGTTAAGGTCCTGTCCTGTATGTGGAAGATATGCTGATAAGAAGGTAGCATGCAGGGAGAACTTGGGCCCTTAGTGGGGAGAAGAGCTATTTTGGCAGTGATGATGGGGGGTTTCTTGTCCCACAAAGGGACTTGGAAATAGATTGCATAAAATGGAAGCATATCCATTTTTAGGACCCCATAAAAGCCTTCTGTGTTTACCTCTACCCTGTCAAGATTTCCCAAGTCCTATTTCTTAGAGGCGGTAGAGGCTGCATTGTAATAGAGTGCTACAGAGGGGAGTTGGAGTCAGGCCAGGGGCCTGCTAAAGAGCTCCCACAGAGGGCCAGAGAGACACTGGTCTGACTGGCTCCTTAGCCTATGGGTCCACTAGGTCTGCTCACCACCTCTTCTGTACTATGAGTCATCAGGCAGTGCTCTGGTGATAATGATGGATTCTGGGACCAGTACTGCCTAGACTCAGTTAGCAAACCACATTGGAGGCCCCTACATGTGACTTTGAAGCTTTGTGACAAGCTAGTTGTCTTCCCAGAGCCTCGTTCATTACACCTGTGGTAGGTGAAGAGACCTTGATCTGGTCAGAAGACCTATATCCACAGTAAGCACTGAAAAGATTAGGGTTTCCTAATGTTGACAAAGTATAAACAATTCAAAGCCATGCAGTAAAGGGTAAAGAGGTCCAACAACACTGGGTGCAGTGGTGCACACCTAATCCCAGTGGCTCAGGAGGCTGAGGCAGGAGGATTGCAAGTTCAAAGCCTGTCTCAACAACTTAGTGAGGTCCTAAGAAACATGATGAGACCTTGTCTCAAAATTTTTAAAAAAGGCTGGGGATGTGGGTCAGTGGTTAAGCACCCTTGGGTTAATCTCTGGGACCAAAAATGGGGGAGGGTTTCCAACATTCTGGTACTTTCCATGAAAGCAACTGTGATGCATTTTTGCTAATATTGGATCATTTTTCCAGAAAACATTTCTTGTCAACTTTCTAGTGTTCCTGATTTTGTGGGTGCTGTGAGCCCCTGCTTGGTCTGTCCATTGGGTGATCCAACACCATCAGTTCGTACTGCAAAGAAGTGTCTCATGGTTCAGTAAAACCTCTGTGTGTGATATATATCGTGTACAATAAATTTAATTTGGCCTGAATTCAGATCTAGTTACAGTGTCCGAGTTTTTCCTTCAAGAAGAAAAGGGTATGGTGGCGCACACCTGTAATCCCAGTGGTTTGAGAGGCTGAAGCAGGAGGATCAAAGCCAGTCTCAGTAATTTAGCGAGGCCCTAAGAAATTCAGTTAGACCCTGTCTCTAATAAAACACAAAAAGGGCTGGGGATGTGGCTTAGTGGTTAAGTGCCCCTGGGTTCAATCCCTGGTACCAAAAAGAAAAAAAGGAAGAAAAGGAGTCCACAGCAGGTGGGAGTAGGTAGAGAAGGGTACAGGAGTTGCTTTGGGTGCATTTAAGGAGAATTTAACCCTATTCAAGAAAACATGAACAGTTGTCACAGTTTCAACTGACATTAAGTAGGAATATAGGGCATGCGATTTCTGTGCAAGGTGGGCCCTTTCTAAGTGTGTTGTTCCTACTTGGCAGGTTCTCACCTCTTATCCAGGGAAATAGTTACACAAGCATGCCTCAGCTAAGGAAGCAGCCAGACTAAGTGACTTGCACATGGTTGCCAAATAATGGCAGAGCAGGGCTACATACACAGCTCTCTTGAAACAATGGCATGAAGGGGGTGGCGGGAACAAGGGCTTCCCCAGCCCTGCTATGATTACTGCTTCATGGAGTTGATTGTCATTCAAAAAAATGGCATTTTTTCCTGTTTTGATTTTGACCATAAACAAAGGCATTTTTATGAGGAAGCATGTGGAATCCATCTGAGCTGTGGCTGTGCTCTGGTCCTAGGGCACGGGTAGTGGGCATTAGGATTAGGAAAAGTACAGAAGTCCACTATGGTTAACCCCACACTCATAGGCTCATTTATTTAGCAAACATTCCAATGGTTTAGAGAAGTCCAAAGTACAGTGGAGTAGAGCTGGAGTAGATTACTGTAGGTCTGGGACATGGGCTAAGCCCAGACTTTTCCCTTTCAACCTTGACCATCTGATGAGATAATGTGGGTCTGAGTGCTGTTTGAACTATGGAATCGGTAGGATTTGCCAGCTGGTCAAGGTTTCAGAGAAATAGTTTAGAACTCCTTTAAGCCTGTCCAGTTTTCCAGTGAACTGAAATAGGACTTGAGGCTGAGGAGCCCCATCCCAGCAGTGGTCAGCCTGGATGTGCTCTCCACCTGCTCAACGCATATTTCACGTGTTTCTGGTACTGTAGAGAAGTGGCCCCAAGTTCCATCTTCACCCCCAGGAGCTGTGGGTCTGATGGACAAACTGGACCCTTGAGCACAACTTTCAAGTTCTCCTGATGTGAGTGACTAATGCCCCATGCCTGGGATTGCTTGAGTTCTTTCCACAAGGACCGGAAGCCTCCCCAGTCTCAGCCCTTCTCAAAATCTCATCTGCTGATTTTGCTGAGTATCTTTTGTAAATTCTTCTTGAAGGTGACTTAGCTTCCTAGGTAGATCTGTGGCTCCTTGAGGGCAGGAACCATAAAGTAAGTACTATCTAGCAAGGATCCAGTGACTTGTTGACTCAATTTAGAAGTCAAAAGTCTTAACTCTGAGGGATGGGGTTGTGGCTCAGCGGTAGAGCGCTTGCCTAGCATGTGCAAGGCCCTGGGTTCAATCCTCAGCACCATATAAAAACAAATAAATAAAAATAAAGGTATTGGGCTGGGGGTGTGGCTCAAGCGGTAGTGCGCTCGCCTGGCATGCGTGCGGCCCGGGTTCGATCCTCAGCACCACATACAAACAAAGATGTTGTGTCTGCCGAAAACTAAAAAATAAAATATTAAAATTCTCTCTCTCTCTCTCTCTCTCTCTCTCTCTCTTTCTCTCTCTCAAAAAAATAAAAATAAAAGTATTGTGTCCAACTACAACTAAAAAAAAAAAAAAAAGTCAACTCTCAATAAGTAGTGATTTAGAAAAACAGGGCTAGAATGTAGCTCAATGGTAGAGTGCTTGCCTAACCTGTGGGAAGCCCTGGCACTGACCCCCAGTGCAACAAAAAAACAAAAAAGAAAACTTGGGTGGTGATTTCTTTGCTGAATAAAACTGCTTTTGCTTAAACCTACCCTGCTCAGGGGAGAAGGCCTCAAGTGGCCACTTCTCAGCCCTTGGAGTCCCCAGGCATTC